ATGGTTGATACTTTATATAACGGAAAGTCTGTTCCATAATTTGCTAGAAAGACAAAATGTCGATAATCTCGGAATTTAACATTTTTTCCGCCATTTTCAACCCAAAATGGCCTCCAAAGGTGTAATTTTAATTCTTTATGTATGTTGATATGAACAAAATTCTACCTAGCAAATATGTGTCGAGTTAGGGGTTTTTATTTGCCACTGGTGTGCTTTTAAATACATTTAATCCTTTACCTTATTAGGAATTTTAGTAATTGTCCGCCATTTTGGGAAATGGCCGCCATTTTGTATTTGTTTTTGTTAAAAGGATGGTTCAACATGCAACATACAATATTTGTTGCTTGTATCACAAAGTGAAAGATTCTAGTAATATTTTGGGTTAACCTGCTGCGTTAATATGACAATATGACCTCTGGAAATACCTTATTCAGAGAGAGCCTTAGTACCAGAGGTCGTCGAGCACGACCGTACAACGTACCTTGTGACATCGCTACAGATGCATGCTAGCTGACAAGGGGGTTTCCAGTTAAGATAACAAAGATGGCATCGCAGAGTGCTTGATTTTTCCATGGTGTTTAAAAACAGCGATTTTTCTGTAATTTCCAGGGTATTTTTATTTACCCGAGCATTTTACGTTTGTGTATTTTGCCACTGAAAAGTTAGTTATCGATGACAGCACAGCAATGGTGTTTTTCCATTGCATCACAATGCTATCAGCACAGTAATGATTACAGCAAAACGAAAAATGTACACTTCAGTTTTAAAATGCACATGGAGAACAAAATGCGTGAAAATAAATCAAAAATATAAATTAACACTATACCACTGGAAGCTGCCAGGCTAGAAGTTGTCGACATATTGCGAGATAAGGGTGAACAAGTTCACTTATCATTTACAATTGTATGTTATTCATTCCGCTTGTATGATGGTAGCGTCTACATCTTGTGTCTTTTTTGTCTTTTTGTAGTTTGTGAGTCTAGTTAATAGCGCTTGAGGTAAGTAAAAAGGGTCCAGAACAGGAAGTCACACAACGACGCACTGTAACTGAAGTCAGCATCTCATTTGCATTTAACATCAACAGTGACTTGTCAATCAAATAACTAACGTAAACAAACTTTCGGAGCTTTTAATCACATACGGGTGCCTCGGTTCCCTATATTTTAAAACTAGACTAATTTTCCCACAATATATCATTGGTGAAGATTGAAGAGCTTTTTCTTTCACGCCTCCAAATTCAGTCGAAACTCACAAAAACAGTTTAGCAGTTTAGTTTCATCTCGTCTAAAGATTCAACTTTGGAACAACAGTGAGGAGGACATAAATCCAGTGATTTGACGCAGGCACAACTAGACACTAGATAAGGATTAGACTACTATCCAGGAGACGCTTGCTCCATTGCAGTCACTGAGGAGTTGCTTCTACTTCCCACTGCCAGAAGCAGTGAGCAACAAAAAGGCAGGCATCAATGTGAAAGACAAAGCTCAGCTCTATTTCTAGTTGAGAAGGAAGGTAATCTCCACTTTGCCTAGGTGTACCCCAAATCTACAGACATTCCAGTACCAGTGGATGGCTATAACTACCGCCTCCCAACGCGAACAATCTTAAAAGTTGGTGCTGGTTGTCCTGCATTCCAAACAAAACTGAAAAGTATATCTTCTTTTCCCTATGGCAGCTGCAGTTTATCAACAGTGTCCAATGTATTGTCTCCTGTTGATAAGTTGGTAAAAGCCAACTGACATAAGGCATTTTACATCAAGCTCACTGATTGAAATACCAGTGAGCTTGACTTTGACCATAGGGATCTGGGGGCCAATCATAACCTCTACATGTGCATAGACGTGCTCCTTCTGGCGAATGTCTTTGAAATATTCCAGGGAAACATGTATACGTCAATTTAGTGTGGATCCTACTACATACTGGTACGTATTGCTGTCTAGGCATATTAGATTATCCAATAGACAGTCCATATTGCTTTATAGTGAGGTGGACCTTGAATCCCTTGCTTGGGCTCAGGCTCTTGGTGACTATGGGGAACAGATATACCCATGATCTGGGAATACTGACAAACTGTGGCATCAACATCCTGCAAGCCATGGTAAAACATATCTACAAGCAGTTGTTATTATTAGTAGACATTACTGCATATAGAAAGGGTCATTATATGGTTTCACATGTTTGAATTTGATGTGCGACCACACCCATTTGCTATAGCAAACACTACATCACTCCAATAGATCCACTAAGTCTCCGCTGTATGCTCAGTTTAATGATTTACATCATTCGGGACATCCTCCCTTGGTGCCAAGGCTTTCTGTAAGCATATGCCTTATATCTTATTTAGCATTTCTGCAGCCACTTTTCAAAGATTTCTTGTTGGGCGTGCATTAAAATTCGGAGGTGGAGGCTCCATTGTAGGTTGGAACTAGTTTGTTTGCAACTGGTGTCATTGATATTCTCTTTGATATCACGCTGACCCCACCATAATCTATTGTATGTGGATATGTATTTGACAATATTACAGTTCACAATACATGAGGCTATGTACATGTCATAGCACTGATAAAGCTTGCATTCAGCACTTATTAATGCATGCCCAAAAGACGGGTTGTCCTTGAGATCAGCAATTAGCTTTGGCTTGTTTTCAGGGGAGTTGGGGGACAACTGATAAAGACTAGTAAAGTTGAAGTATAGCTTGTCAGAGAGCTTTTGGCACAGCTGCACCCATCAAGGCATCTTACCTGGCCTTTCCGATTGATAATCAAAAGTGTAAAAGTAAAAAGTAATATAGATTGGCTGATCAGTCTTCAACACAGACTTAACTTTTTTGTCTCAGCAAGCCTCAGCTGATGGACTATGGTACATACATTAAGCTCTGCAAAAAGTGAATCACATCAAGAGTTGGTCAGCAGTGGAAATAATTATTTCATTTTATAGATAGCTTAAACCCAATGACAAATCCACTTTGGAACTGGTATATTATAGGACATCTTGGTGTCGTTTTGTGTCTGTTAAAAAAATCTGTGCATCTATGCTGTCTTCCACATTGTTTCAGAACTGCTTTTTGGCATTAAAAGTGGGATCACTTATGTTTGAATAGTGTCATACAGATGTTCAACTCCCAACTCTGTTAACCATTCTGAGTGGTCAAAAATCAAGGTATTCCAGGCAGGATTACTATTCTGACTAGGGTAACCTCAGGCAGCATGGTGTTTTTTTGTTGTTTTTTTGTGAACAACATCTTTTGGACGCGACTCTACTAAATACCATAACCAATATGAGTGTAATAAATGAATGCTTCTCCTAACTCTTGAGTGAGCCCTCCTATCCCATGAAAATCTCTAAACTTGCCACAAATTCATTCATATGTATTTGTCATATGATGATGTGGTAATGGTGTCCACATCTCAGATAATGTCTGGCGAACAGTTACACATGAAAGTGAAAGAATAACC